TTTGATATCTGGTGAAAAAATATTGGGGTATTTTTATATTTTTGGATGCTTTTGTTTCCATGCGGTGCGGGTGCACCAGCACCAGGTGGCATTGAGGCACACAAAGATGCCAAGAATGTCCAACGCTATCGAACATAACAGTGACGGAATAAATTAGGGAGGGAGTGGGGTTGTTTTGGTTTTGGTTTTGCTTTTTTGCTGAGGAACATTGGGTGATTTTCATATATTATGTTAATTGTGTGTGTGCATACGAGGCACAATCGGAGAATTGCTCTCTTGTGGTAGATTCATTGTGGCTAGCGGTGCCGCAGTATTGCTGCATTTTCCATTTTATTTTTACTTTGTTTTGTTGTAGGGCCCATCACGAACGGAAACATATTGAAGGGATGGACGAAGTATAACTTCCTTTGGAGAAATAGCGCACTCCGTGTAACGGCACTGAGTGAGGCGCCGCATTCCATTGAAGGCGGGATGGCTGTGCAAATTTTGGTGCCGCGTGACTGGTGGATGGGTGAGGGTCCACTTCAACGTGTGGCTGGCGTGGTGGGTGCTCGCTCCGGGTGCGTTGTGTGTTGGCTGCGGGGATGTGGCCGTATCCCGTTGCCCGTGAGAATGTTCTGGAGGCGGTGGGTCTCTTCTCGTCGTCCATGGCGGGTGGCTGCTGCCGGTGCGCACTGGTTTCCCTTGCAACTCGCTGTGTTTCTCCTCCATGACCTTTTCCATTTCCTTCACACACAAAAAAGGAAGTAAAACAAGCGCGAATCGCTACTGTGCACTCTGAGGGCTCTGAAAGGAACAACAGTACACACACACACCGCCCACACACACGTATTAATATACTCTCAAGCGTTGCTGCTGTGAAGGCACCCCGCACACACAACCGTACTCGCGTGACCGGATCCAGCGGAAGGAGGGAGGAAGAGAGAGTGGGCATCAGAGGCCTAACATGTCCCGGCATCTCTTCAATTCCGCGGTGCTACTTCTCCTCTTGATGGTGTGCTCTGGCAGTGGTGCTGCATCCGCTGAGGCGAGTAACCCAAGGAACGGAATCATCTTTAAAGGAGGGGATTCGTTTAATGATCCAGAGACTGAAAATTTGGTACAGGCGTTTCACTCGTTCCGTGCGCCTTCTCTTGTTTACGTGAATGGTGTTGTTGTGGCCACTGTTGAAGCGCATTACACAAACACCACGGATAAAAAATCGTGCGTCAGTCTTGTTGCAAGGTCGATGAAAATTGATGGAGGGGAGTGGACAAATGGAACTGCCATCGTGTTTGATCATTACGACGTGAAAATTGACCGCCTGTTGAGCCCAACTACCATTGTGGATGAAGAAGATGGTTATGAAATAAATGCACTTGTCGGGGGTTATGGCACGTCAACGACTCCATTGACGGAGGTGACTGGTGATGGATATTGGGCGCCCAGGATAGCGGCTGGTGGTTTGATTCCGCATGACGATGACGATGAGGAAAAGAAGGAGTTTAAGTGGCAAAGTCAAAGCACGTCATTAGTTCCTTATGAAATTTGGGGGGATTACAGCACCAAGCCCAAACGTTTCAAACAATTTCTGGGTGGTGGCGGCGCAGGCATTAGGATGGAGGACGAGAGTCGCTACGTGCTGCCTATTCAAGCCTTGAAGGATGATGGAAAGGTTGTCTCGTTGGTCATCCTTGCCAAAGGTTTTACTTATGGTTGGGAGTTCTCAAATGGTACGAGTGATGAGGGATGCATCCAGCCTGCGGTTCTTGAATGGGAGGGCAAAGATCTCGTCATGATGACGTCGTGTGAGGACGGCAGCCGCAGGGTTTACTTGTCAAGCACCATGGGGAGACGGTGGACGGAGGAATACGACACTCTTTCACGCGTGTGGGGCAACTCGCTGAAACGTACAGGGCACGGCGTGCAGGGTGGCTTCGTTAGCGCGACGATCGATGAACAGAAAGTCATCCTCGTCAGTCGGCCGGTATATTCCGGGGAGGAGGGAAAACAAGAAACAGGTCGACTTCACTTGTGGCTGACGGACCTGCAGCGAATTTATGATCTTGGGCCGATATCCGCTGAGAATGAGAACGTCGCCGCCAGCACTCTGCTGTACGCCACGGTCGAAGTGCCGTCATTGGAAGGGGAAGGGGGAGAATCGAAGGAAGAGAAGAAACTGTACTGCTCGTACGAGGTCGCTGCAGAGGGAGATAAGTACAACATTGCCTTTGTGGACTTGACGGAGAAGTTGGAGGACATGAGGAAGGTGTTGGCTGCATGGAAGACGAAGGACGCGCAAATTGCGAAGGAATACGGCTGCGGGAATGAAAAGGATGCAAATAAACGACGTTACTGTGACGATGGTGACCTCACTAAAGGGCTGGTTGGCTTCTTATCCAGCGCGTCAACTGACAGCACGTGGGCAGACGAGTACCTCTGCGTGAATGCAACCGTTCACGGGGAAGTGGAAAGTACTCCTGACGGTGGATTGACGTTCAAAGGACCCGGAGCGTGGGCGGAGTGGCCTGTTGGCGACATGGGGCAGACTGTGCCGTACCACTTTGCGAACTCTAAGTTTACTCTTGTGGCGACGGTGTCCATCGATAAGGCGCCGAAGGAAGGCAGCAGCCCCATCCCTTTGATGGGCGTGAGGATGAACGATGCACAAGGCACGGTGCTTCTTGGTCTGTCGTACACCCACGACAAAAAGTGGAGGATAATCTTCAACGGCAGTCGTTTGACGCTGCCGGCGCATGATAACGATGTCGAATGGAAACCAAACAAGAAATATCATGTGGTACTGCAAATGGATTATAATAATGGACTGTTTGTGTACGTGGATGGGAAGAGGATATGCGACACCGAAGATTATGAAGTTGAGGATTACGAGGGCTATAAGAGCTTTTATGACAGGTTACAACAGTCGAGCTCCCACAGCATCTCGCACTTTTACATTGGCGGGGACGGCAAGAGCAACTCGGGCAACATTCATGTGACGGTGAGCAACGTCCTGCTGTACAACCGCTTATTGCAAGATAATGAGCTCAGCCCACTAATGAAGACGAAGGCGGCCGCTGCTCCAGAGGCGGAGGTGCCGGCCCCGGAAGGTGCGCCTCAAAACAGTCATTTGAGTCAACCCTCTGAAAAAGACGCCACACCATCACCACAAAAACAAGACTTATCACCGGAAAAATCGGAAAATGAAAAGCATTCAGCAGGTTCCCGGCAGGCATCTTCCACCGACCCCGCTGGCTCGTCCACCTCAGCCGCCGAGGGGAAAGTGGAAGAAGTGGCATCCAGCAGTGTTGGCTCGGCGTCCTCATTCTCTCCAACAGCGGGAGAAGACAGTCCTCAAAAAGTACGTGAAACCGATGTGCCTGCCACTGAGGATCACTTTGAACGTGAACAGGAGCACTCGTCTCTCAGCGTGGTTCAGCCGATGACGGAGCAGGCTGAAGAGGCGGCTGTCGCCACTCCGCAGAGGAAAACCACTGAAGATTGGCCGCAGCACAGCACTCTATCTGATGCTTCAGAGGACGTGGAAAAGTCGTCATTCCATCCCGCCCCGCCCACCAGCGACGAACAAACCGTTGACCCCGAGGAGAGGAAGGACACAAATCCCCACACTGCCGTGGGTGCGAGCAGCGGCCCCGACTCATCCCACAGCATTGAGGTGGCGCCCTTGGACGGTGCCACAGCCGCCCATGAGCCCAGCACAGACCCGAAAACTGCTCAAGGCCATGGTGAAGTGTTGGATGGCGATGATGCCGCGCCGGGTAATAAAAGCACCCTGCCTGGGGAGACCAAGATCCCATCGGGGTCCAACGCAACATCGCTCTCGGACCATGACGTTTTGCTTGAGCACGGGCATTTGAGCGACTTGGCGGCCATGGCTCTAATTGGTGACAGCACCGTGCATGGGTGTGTGTCTCGGGTGTTGTTGCTGCTGCTTCTGGGGCTGTGGGGCACCGCGGCTCTCTGCTGAGGTGTGAGGGAGGAGTGGAATGGCGGCTTTTCGTGGAACAACAACTGTGCAGCTCCCAGCAATACTCACCCAACTTTGTCAAGCAGGCTTTTCTTCTTCTTCTTCTTTTAAGCATGTGTTCCTTTTTGTTTTTGTTTATGGTTTTCTGTTTTTTTATGGTTTTTCTTTCGTTTTCTGTTTTTCTTTTTGTTTTTGTTTGCCGGTGCTCTTTTGAAATAATCAGCATTCCTATTTGTGTGTTTTTCCCCCAAATGGTCGCTTGCCAAACACCGTCACGACTGACGTACTTCTCCCTCTTTTGTTGCTTTTTTTGCCTACACGCGGTGCCGGCCTCATTGCTGTGCGTCCCACGGACTGCACGAAAGGAGGAGTGGAGGAGCAGGCCGGATGCCGCATGGAATGTGAGGGATGTTGTGTGGGCTGGTGGGAGAGTACAATTCCTTTTTTTATTTGTGTGTGCGGGCAGTATGTATAAACTCAAGAACACGGTTGTATTGTGCTGCGTGGCACATGAAATGACATATCTGCCGAGTCAATTGTTTTTTTTTTCCATTTTTTTCATTTTTCTTTTTTGTTTCGGCAAATCACTACAGTCTCTTTTCTGTCTGTGCCGTGTCCACTGCCGCCGTGTGTCTCCGTGTCCCTTTTTATTATTCCCCTGCTGGCTGTGCTGCTGACACGCCCCCACTTCTTCTTCTTTTTCTTTCCCGCTAGAGGCATCGATGGTCCGCGACGACGGTTGTTTGTGCGCCGTGCCTCAGTTGTGAGTGTGGGACGCCACCCGCCACGACCCACTGCGAGGCGCAGCGCTATTCCGTCGGGGCGGAGAGAAGTGAAGGACTGCGCCGTGGACTTGGATGCGCCCCGTCCCTCTCGTTGCGGCCGTGTGTGTGTGTGTGTGTGTGCTCTGGATGTCCAAACTCACTTGCCCCGCAAATGCGGCAACGGAAGGATGTGGTTGCGTGGAGGCGCCAATGCCACTTGAATCAAACCGTGCCTGTGGCACACACGCAAACAGGAAAGCGAAAGGAAGGATTATTCGTCTGGGCTGCTGGCCGGATCCCCAAATTTCCGAAGGAAATAAAATACGACGGAAAGGGAGAATGAGTAAACGGAGAGGCAGTGCGTTCGCCAAACCCTCGTTGTTTGCTCCGCATATATTGTGTATATTTATATATTCTGGTGGCCCCACTCTCGTGACATGATGAACGCTCTATTCGGATACACCTATTTTTATAGCTTACGAAGTGGCGGACTTTGGGCCTCTCCAGCCACAAGACCCGCCGCAACGGTG